CAGGATTCTGAGAAAAAGTTTGAAAATTGAGATTGCTATCCTCTGGCTCCAGTGCAGTCTGTCTGGTGTCAACCTCTTTGGCACCTGAAGACACAAGGCAATTAATGGAGTGTGCAGACAGCTGTACTCCAGCCTGGATTGTTTTGTCTGAATTGTTTTGTTTCCTTATGGTATTTTGTTAATTTTTTTTTTAGTTGTTTTGTTTTGAACTGACAATGAATTTGCCCTTATTCTTTCCAAATGTTAGAAAATAAGTTTTTCTAGCAAAAGTATAGTAAATTAAACTTACATTTGAAAGCTGTAATAAGGTGACTGTTTAGCCGTTTCTTTTATTGTGGAGTACAGTGTTCAATTCTATTACACTAATTTCTAACTTTAGCAGCGTATTTCCTGAAACTTGATTTGTTCCATCAACTTCTTGAACATTCTGTTCCTCCACATACTATGTTGCCCTTTCAGTTGAGAAGACCTTGGACTAAGAGGCCTCTTAAAAGCAAAGCAAGCAATATTCATAACTTGTTTAAAAGTATTAACTGTGTTTTCTAAGGAAAAATGCTTGCTGAACAGCTGCTAGATCTTTTACATATTATTAATCTGAATAAAGAATACTGGCCTTAGTGGGCTTTTAGTAAAACTTGGTTTTGTGGAAGGAATATATGATGAATCCAGGTAATTTATTCTTGCTTTCATAACTGTATTAAATCTAACCCTTACCTGAATATTATCCAGCCACTGAAGACACCTGATTCTTCACTTTTATATTTAAGAATTGGGTAAAAAAATATATAGTGTTTCACCCCTGATATTTAAGATTAAACATCAGCATTATCTGTTAATAAGATACTATTATGTAGTGTTAATTTTAATCCACTCAGATTTGGAAAAGTGGCTAAGGATTGACATAGTTGAAAGACAACCATGGGAGATTCGTAAATTAACTACAAAAACCATTTCATGTACAGTAGTTCATAGGCAGTAAGTCTTCCATTTTACAGACTATATCAGCTCCTTCTTTGAGAGTTCCCCTTTAAATAGGAGGAGTTTATAGTGGCCAAGCCTTTGCTAAGTCCTTGGTGAGAAGTGAGATTAGATTTGTATCAGATGACTAATAAAAGATAGATGTGAGGTACTTGAGGAAATCAGAGGTTTATTGCTAGGCATGGATTTTCATTTTTACACTGCTGTATATCCACTATAGTGTGTAATAACAACTGAAGTTACTTGAAACTTTTTTTAAGACACGCAGTTAAAAAAAGCTAACCATGCTGGGAAAAATGTCTTACACAGATATTTTTGCATTTGACCTTGTATGATCAATATTTCTTTCTGCTTTGTTTTGTCTGTGGCTTCTTTCTGAAAGTGTATCCTACAGACGTATTTAGAATCAAGTGAAGGCCAGGAATAACCTTGAAGATTACATGCAAGGAAAAATATATTTATGTTATTTTGAAGATCTAATTACCACCATTTAGAAGATACTTAAAGCTGTAATATACATAGTGTGGGTTCATCTGTCTTTTTGGTTTGGGGTGGGGTTTTTGGTGGGTGACCTGGGGAGGGGAGGAGTTATTTTTTGGTTTTGGGGTTTTTGTAAGTCCAACATGTATCTGTGAGCTTCATATATTCTGATAGTTTTGTCTCTTTCAGTATGTATTTGGATATGCTTAAAGCTCCCATCAACAGCTATAAATATTAGGTTATGCAATGTGGAACCTATTTAGAAAACACATTTAAATAAGTGAAATCCATACTTTTGCTGTTTCCAGAACTCAAACAACATAAAGGGTACCATGTTTTAACTTCATTGCGTACCATTCTTACTTCTCACAGGAGTAAAATCAAGCTGGATCAGTCAAGAATGCTGGTGCTTTTTAACCAGGCAGAGCAACGTGTCAGCACGTTTACACAGGTTACCTAAACAAATCATACATATGATCATTTTTGAGATTGATTGGCCTGCATGCTACTCAGCTACAATATATTTTTCCCCATCCATTGCAGTGTAGTGGAAACATGCACAGCCACTCTGTAAACTGAGTCCCATGACTCATGTCACAGCATGATTGGGGGCAACCCCAACATGTTCCTCTCTCCTTGTTTCATGTTTGGTATTTTTTGTACTACTTCTGTGGCATAACCTGCATGCTTTCTAGGTTTTTATTATTATAAACTGAATTATTAAGTATCAAGACTCCTCAAGCTTAAGAGAGGTTAACAGCCTATGATTTTGTGAAAATGGAAAAGTAATCACTTGACTTTTTCTGTTTATCTGTAGAACCATGTTTTTAGCTGTCATGCAATTATGAACATTTTCTAATCATGTTCATTTAACCAATGCCTTTGTAATATTACATATATACAATTAGTTATATACTAAAATGTTTGCAACTTTTGATATAAATTGTTTCATGTTTGTTCACAGTGTTTTTATAATTTGCATTCCCATTTTCTCGTATGAGAGAAGCTAAAATACAAGATGAAAGATACATTCTTGGGAACAATCAAACATATATTTTTTTAATTAGCATAGTGCTTTTGATATGGATGTAATAATTTAGTTATTCTACTCTTGACTTTTCTGTATGTATGTAAGATTGGAAGTTAGGAACTCCATTTTTCTCTTAATCAATAATTGTTTCTTTGTGAACTTGAAACAGTTGCTTTATTTTTAGAAAGCAAGGTATAAAACACAATTTCAAGCAAAAATTCCATTCAGGATTCCATCAGGTGCCAAATAAATCCAGGTGGTTTAAAATTATTCAAATGAGGAAGTTCAAGCAAGAAAGAAATAAAGATGAGGAAAACCCAGGGTAGAACTAGCATTAAGATAATTCCCGAAATGACAAAATAGGAAGTAGTACCTTCCCAAACGTCTAAACTCAGGTACTCAAGAACTGTAAAACAAAACTTAATTGTACCTAGCTGGGTGTTTCTTATTCCTGATGATCTCTTCTGAATAGTTAGACAGTTCTGCCTCTTGCCATTTAGCACTCATTGGGGTGCTCCTTTCCCAATTACAAGTTTTGCTCATGTGGTTTTGTTGTAGAATCATGTGTTAATCTTTCATGTGTTCTTTTGCACTTCATTACCTATTTGAACTACTTCAGTTCTCACTTTTGTGCCCAGGGGGCCTGTAAGCTATTCAGATAGATACCTAGAATAGGAAAATAACTTCCTAAAGATTTTTCCAAACCATTTTTAGAAAAGACACTTAAGTAGGGGAGAGTAGGATGTGGTTGTATCCAGTCCAGTCCGGCTGTTGCTAAGTTTGTGTGGTTGATTTTGATTGTTTGTTGGGTATTGTTTATGTGACACTGCTCCTGTTTCAAGCTTGTACTGTCATGAATTTGGACAGGTATAGACACCATGCAAAAAAGTAAATTTGTAATAATTTCACTGAAAAATGCTTTAATATTTCTCATTTGAATGTCACATTGTCTTATAGTAGTCTTCCTTACATAATAAAACTTCTCTCTTTTTTTTCTTTTACCTTCTCTTTAATTGCATAGAGTAGGAGAGAGAGGTTTTAGTTTAGTGAAAAAAACTTCTGGCTTCTTTACAAAGTAAATAATTTGCAAGCCTTATTTATAGACAGACGTACTTTTATTTTTTCAGAAAAAGATTAATAGAAAGATGCCAATAAAAGGGACTTTAATGTACAGGGTCTGAAGACTGCCATACTCAGTGATAGGGCAGGCTCAGTGTAGATGATGATTACAAAAAAGTGTGCCTTGTTTCCTTTTTGTTGTCTAAATGATAGTTAAGCCTAAATTTCCTGTTGAAAATAGATCAGATTAAGCAGGAAAATATTCAGTTGATGGAATATAAGTGACATAACACAGGTGCACTAAGGTTTTCTGTTGCATTTCTACATAGTAAAATTTTTTGATCCTGTTTGCTGAGAGGTTCCTGAACATACTCTCCAAAAATCATCTTTCACATTGTACTGCAGTTCTTTACCTGTTCTTCTGTCAAAAAGAAACTCAGTCTACCTAAAATAAAAAGAGAGAGAGAGGGAGAGAGATCCTTAATAAAAAAGAAGTTGAGATTATGTAGCACAGTCTTCCTGTAGGTTTGCTACATTTTTATTTTAAACTACAGAACACAGTGTTTCCCTTTTATTCCTCATTAACAACTGTATTGCTGGTACATTTATTCTTGGGGGCTGGGAAAAAAAAAGATTTATTATTTGATATTCAAAACGTGAATGACAAGTGGAATGCACAGTGGGTTGCACCATGTGAATAATCAGTGGCCTGCTTATTATCAGCTCTTAGTACAGAGCTTTCTTTAAAGTTTCCTTTATAATCTGCAAATTTTTGTACTCTGTCATTTACTATTTTTAAGATGATTCTTACTAAAAATTGACTCTTTACTAATTACGTCAAGCAATCCTAAGTGGCTTCAGTGGGACAGTTTGTAGTCGTAACATTGTTCTTGCAAGTGTTTGTACCATCATATACTGACTCCTTCAGGAAAAAAGGAAGATAATGAGCTCCACATTTTGACCTTATAACAGTCCAGTAAATATTTGTATTAAAAAAAATTATATATCCAGAATCAGAATAGCTTTTCTCTGCCAACAGTGAGAATGAAAAAAGGTATTTTATTGAGGGAATTTTCTCTAACAAAAATGTTTTAGCTGCTGATTTGCAAATGTCAAGGCAGCTAATTACCTGTTGAGTATGGGAGTTTGACCTGTTCAGTCCAGTGCTTAGTGTGTGTATATAATGAGGCCTTCTAACCTCAATTTGCTAAACTTTGAAAAGCAACTAAGTAGTATGGGAGGAAAGTATAAATATTTGTCATTCTTAAAAGTCCCATACTTGGAATTATTCATAAAATCAGTGAGATCTCTGCAAGTTTTGCACATAACAAAGAAACTAACTGAATTTTTTATTAGAGCAGGAAACTCTTCTAACTCTTCTATTGCTTTTTGCTATGGATTTTTTTTGCTATTGTTTGATACCTTCATCTTAGCAATAAATATGAGCACCCTGCATGACAAAGAGAACGGACATTTAATTAAATCTGTAATTCCTCAAGCACAGGATCATGTCCTGTCCTTAGAAGAAAGAGGTAATCATGCTACATGTCATTCATATAAAAGTAGTTCATTGACCCTCTAATTTGGTTTCGTTAGTCAAGAAAATTGCCTTAACTAAAAAAAAATAAAGTAAAATTCTAATACCTGGTTCTTCTGCAGTTTGTTAAATGAGATATATAACTTCATGTTCTAAACAGATTGGTTCTTTTCAGTATCTTTTCCCATTTATAGTTGTCCATCATTTAGTGTTGCTAGTTTATCTGTATTCTTTCAGTTGAATTTATGTCATCTGCTGAAATGGTGTACTAAGTAACTTACAGTTCAAATGGCCCAGGGTACTTCAGGGGGTTTTTTGTAATATGGCACAAAATGTTTTTACTCTTAAAAAAATGTTGTTTTAAATGTAGTAATTTGATTTATAATTCAGTTCATTATTTCAGTTCATCCACCACTGCTGCAACATTTTGCAATATATATGGGATGTCATGGAATGATGAAAGCAGCATATTAATAAAATTCTGGAGGTGTATAGTGCTATCTTCAGGTTCAATAGTGATAGCAAAAGATGTGTGCTGTGAATATTGATATTCTAAAATAATGGTACTAAATTTTAAGAGTTATGTACGTTAAATGTTAGTCATTTGGGGATCATATTCTAGATTATGAGTTTCTAAAGTAGAAGCAAAGTAGGCAGTAGTACTGAATTATTTTTAATATAAGTGAATGAAGAACACTGGGTTAATTTTCCTATGAAATTGTCTCTGTCTTCCTTCAGAAACATAAGAAAAAAATTCATTTTGCTTAATACCTAAAATATTTTTTCCTTTCACATTTTATATGTGTAACATATTTTACACATTTGAGGTGTAAATATAGCTTGATTGGATAGTGCCTGTAGCTTATCTGCTTGTATGTCTTAAATGTCTCTTAATCTTGCAAGTCTAACTAAATTAATGAAAATGATATTAATTCTACAAAACCAAGGCTGTTTTACAAAGTGTGCTTACATCATTCCCTACAGACATTTATTGTGTGAATTCATTACTGTTGTTACATACTATTTGATAATCACATTGTAAAATGTCAAAGAATGCTGTGACGAAAACTACTTTGACTTACTTTGGTGCTCATACTCAGATTAAGTGTACAGGACACTGCATCTTCCTTTAAAATCTCCAGACTATGGATTTTAGCAATACACATGCAGATGACAAAATAAAAATAAAAATATATATAAAAATAAGACTTATTTTAATAACAATGACTTGCATAATTTTAAGTATTGAAACAAAAACATTATTTGTTTCCGGGTGTTAGCTGTACAGGTATGTGTACCAGAGTAATGGGTAGTTTCAGAATGCACAATGTGATATATGTGTGCATTGGCAAAAAAGAATGCAAATTGATGCCAGTTGAAATGTATTAATCATACTTTTTCCTTTTTGAAACTTAGGAGTAAATCTGAGAAAACATAAAAGGTGTTCATGAGGTCCTGATAATTATACAGTTTAAGATAGGGAAAGCTTATTTGTTTTATGAATGTCTTGAGGGTAATGTTCAAATTCACATCTGAAAAAAGGTTTCATATTAATCCTGATTTTACTTTAGCATTTTCCAGTCTAGGTCATAAGAATGATCATAATATGAAAAATAACTGAATTATATGTGGTCAGAGATTACCCAATTTAAATTGTCATATATGCCAGAAGTGGTTAGCTTGCATCATACTGATGTTTAAGATATCAGTGAAAAATAACTGATAATTAATTTCCTTTATTTTTATATGATGAATAATAGGTGCTGAATTAACATCAGTCCTTAAAAATCCTCTACTTTTTCTCCCTTGTACAATTTACCCTGACAGTTCACAATTTTTGGGCTGTCAGGATTTACTGACTTCATGTTGAGGAAAGTGCTCTAATGATAGTAGCTACCAACATACATAATCTTAAACTATGCAGTGTAACTGGTATTGGTTTAAAATATAGCAAGATAAATTACAATAAGAAATAATATTAGAAAACAAAATAAATAGAATACATATCATGAAATCTACTTTGTAGTTGTTAACTTTGATGAATAATAATACTGTACCATATATAGATGAGAAATTCTTCAATTCTCTGAAAAATTACATGATACAGCTTGCAATCTCTAGGTAGAAAGTGGATGATTTATGCACATTTCAACAGCATTGACTGCTATATGTGGATGTTTGTGTGTATTTCTGGTGACAAATATTGTTCCTATTACTTGCACACAGTGTTGCATGCTTAAATTGAATTACAATTAAAAAAATTTAGATAAAGCATAACTGTTAGCAATTTTATTTTCAGAAGCTAAGTTTTTCCAGCTCATCTGAAGGAAGTACAGTTAATTTAGCTCTCTTTGGAGAAGAAAAAGCTGAAACAGAACCAGAAAAAGTATCAGAGCTACAGGCATGCTTTACAGAAGGTATGTTTTACAGAAGGTGTGGAAATAAAATTTTGGGTTAGCCAAGTACACTTAGTTGTTTGCAACAAACATTGACAGTTCAAGGATGCTCTTTGCTACAGCAAAGGTTCCAGGGATCCTAGTTTTTCAAGTCTTACGATTTATTTTGCCTGTTGTAGATAGTGATACTGAAGTCCATGGCGCCATTTGTCTGATGCAAAGTTAAATGTGTGTGCATGTGATAATTTTTAATATTTTTAAAGGAACACTGGGCAGAATTCTATTAAGTGATTCTCAGGAACCATTAATTCTTGTTCATTTAAATTACATCCGCAGTAGCAAAATGTGCAAGAGCAAACTCTGCACAGTACTCACTTCACTGAGAAATTTAAACCAGAATAATTTGATTACCCTTGGTTCCTTCATAAGGTCAAAAAGCAATCCAGTGGATGATTCAGATCTTGGAAGGTTTGAGTCCAACAACAGAGTTATTAACTTCACATTATACCATTAATGGAGAGATAGGGTCAATAAATATAATTAGGGATTGAACATGAGATCTTAAGTTTTTATTTGAGTAGAGAAGTCTTAATAGCAAACTTGCATGTCCTTAGAAATTTGCATTTATTTTAGTTCTGTATAGCTATATCTTTTAGAGGACTGCTGAAATGCACTGTATAGGAATGTATTTCCTGGTTTTGTGATATTAAGATTTTACTTTCCATTTAAATTATTATTAAAATAATTCAAAACACAATATGTTTCAGGATTAACTCTCCTATCCATGCTTTTTGATCTACTGTTATGAAGACACCTTTGACTTAAACTAGGGCTCTTGTTCTTTGAAATATCATTTCTGTCAACTCTGAAAAAAAATGTGGGGCTATATTGACAATTTTATTTTTTTTTAAAAGAGGTACACTTCTCAAATAATTTCACATCATACTACAGTTCTTCCTTACCCTTGTACAATGTGATGTCTGCCAAACCTTGGGCATAAGATTAATTTTTCCATGATGAAGGCATTTTGAGTTGTTGAAGGTAAAGTAAATCATGCTCTTCACAGTGGTAGCTCTTCTATCTGAGCTTATGAAATACAGGGTAGCTTACTTGAAACATGACACTCACAGGAAAACTAGAATACTGCCTTTGCGACCCATTGAAATAGTGTAAACTTGGTTATGTTTCTATGTGATTAATCATTTTTAAAGAAATAGGGAGGCTACTGTTAGCCAGGCAGGTAATGGAAGTTCAGTGAAAACCATGCCTTGAGGCCCTGTGATAAGGTAGGAAGCTCTCCAAGATGAAAGGAATTCTGTGCATGGTTGCCATAAATCTGTGCCATATGGAAAAGCTCTCAAATCTCCCATTAAATCAGTTGTTTATGTCATGAGAGAGTCAGTATAATTAAAGTGTTCACATCTGTGTAATTTATTGGAACCTTAGCTGATAGACAAAAGTATTTTTAAAAGAACCTGTTGTACTCTTGAACTAGTTCATGCAGGAGCTGCTATTTGTGAATGGACTGTTTCTACTCTGTGACAATTCTCATAGATCTTTTTATTCTCTGTATATAAATGAGAAATTATTTTTTTAAATGTATATAAGTCAGAATTAGCTCAATTAGATGACTTTATTATTCAAAGATCTATGTAGTGTCAAGATAATAAAAAATTGTGTTCATGCAAGTTTTACTACATCCAGAGTACCAAATCAAGAAGGTAATTGCTTTAAGTGCTTCTTTAAGTAGAATGCAGTAATTTGAAATGCTGACCAACTCTTGAAACTGGAGTTACTAAGAGTGATTTTGCTTTTTCAGGATGCTGATAAAAATTCCACAGTGTAACAATTTGTCATTGTTTGTATTGTCAGGCTGTGTACGGAAGTTTAAATGCTGTAAAGGCAATATGGAAAGCAAAAAAGGAAAAATCTGGTGGAACCTTCGAAAAACCTGCTACAAGATAGTAGAACACAATTGGTTTGAAACATTCATTGTCTTCATGATTCTTCTCAGCAGTGCTGCTCTTGTAAGTAGAGCGGGCACCCATAGAAAGAGTACCTATAAAATTTTTTCAAAGATTGTATTATAACACATCTGTTTTCACTAAGAATAAAATAAAGTTGGCTTGAAAGAGAACTAAGAACTAGATTTTAGGTTGTGCATATAAAGTAAGTCATTAAAATTCTTCTGTAATATAACATTCTGCAGATAATTTTTTTATGAGTACAAGGCAGTATGTGGGTGTGACTGTGCCTATGAATAGGATTTCACTAAAAATCTTGTTTATAAAACTATAAAAATTACAAAAAATTAATTGTGACAATAACTGGAATATTCATTCTACTTTAAATTAAAATTGACCCCAGAAGCAGTACAGATACTGAATTCATCAAGTTCTCAATTTTTTACTTTAGTTTTTAGTTTCAGTATTTCTACACTGTTCAGCAGAAATATTTTAATTGCTTTATACTATTCTTACTGACTGACATTTATTCCTTCATACAGCTACTAATTATTAGGTTCTTTTTGATTCTTGATTGACACAGGATTTGGTATATACTGTCATTATCTCCATTTAACACCTGTAACACCATGTCCCTTCTTTCTTCTGTGACACTGGTTTGTAGTCTAGTTTCTCTAATTTTGGGGGTTTTTTCTTCAGTCCTCATACTGCCATGTGGTGTTTTGTCCTTTCTTAAATTTTATTTTTCCTGGAGGCACCACCAGCTTCACTGATGAGCTCAGCTGCTGCCTGTGGTGGGTCTATTTTGGAGCTGGCACAGAGCAGCCTGTAGCTTCTTCTCACAGTGGCAACCCCTGCAGCCTCCTGTAACCAAAACCTTGCCACCACACCCAATATTAGAGTACAAATATCAGCAGCAACTGTAGCTCATCTCTTTTGCTAGTTGAATTTATTATAATCAGGAGACTGCCTTCTGACTGAGCCTAACTGGGCTTTTCAGGGTGACAGATTGTAATTCTGGGTTGATTATTACTGAAATTTCTAAAAATCTTTCTGGCAACTTAAGTCATTGTGTTGTAGCTCCATTGCTATGCAAAGATAAAATCTAAAATGCAATTGTAGCCTGTGCTCATTCAACATAAAAAGCATATGAAGTTGAAAGTGATTTTACTTTCCATTTTCTATTCAGTTCTTTTGGTTTAATTTTTGTTTGCAAGGATGTATGAATATCTGACTTACATGCAACCCAATCTTTCCAGGCTTTTGAAGATATATATATTGAACAGCGCAAGACTATAAAAGTCATACTGGAGTATGCTGATAAAATCTTCACTTACGTTTTTATTCTGGAAATGGTGCTAAAATGGGTGGCCTATGGTTTTCAAACTTATTTCACTAACGCTTGGTGCTGGATGGACTTCCTGATTGTTGATGTATGTACTACTATACTTTCTAAGTAGCCTGTTTCTGTTGTTTAAGCATGTCTTTTTATGTAACTTCAAGCTGATACATACATATCTATTTACAGTGAAGAATATAAATGGGGTTCAAAAGAACAGAAAATTACATACTGGTATATATTATTCCATTGTAATAATTCAATGCAGAAGTAAATATGCCTTTTTATTTATGCTGTCTTTGTTTTACTGCACTGGTTCCCAACCAGTGAGTGAGACCTATCAGCTTATTGGACTTCAGTCTCCTGAGTTTGATGACAGAGAACAAAGAGGAAGCAGACACAGAAAGGAAAGGGAAATTTAAGTGAGCAGTGGTTTTAGGATAGACAGTTGACCCTGAGCTTAATGAATCACTGGCAGCGAACTTTAATGGGAGGATAGTATCAGGATATCAGGATGACAGCAGAAGATGGCAGGGCAGGGGCAAGGAGGCAGCAACTGGAGTAAAAAGGATTGGAGAAAATGAGAAGTCATGGCTTGTGGATCAGTACAAAAAGGTGGGAATCATTCATTCACAGTCCTCATTTTGATTGTCAATGTACTTACTGTGTACTAGGCTGCAAGACTAATTTCAGTACACTTCCACTTTTGATTGACACGTGGCTTTCCAATGATTTTGGTTTTGGAAACTGAAGTCATTCTGGTATTGTTTGGCTCTGTGATCATAAGGGAACCTCTCTCTCATTTAACTGTGCATCTGTTTTTCATCAGTTATGGGGAAGGGGCACAGAATTCCCATTTTGAGCAATTGGGCTAACTCAGTGAAATGTGATATATGTTTTCTCTGGGAAATGCAATTTTTAGCTTTCTCCTTTCATGTCCTCTGCATTTCTTCTGTTATGAAGACCCAGTATATACTTACACAAAGTATAAAGTCCACATGTATTCCCAGAACCAATTTATCTCTAAGAAACATAGTAAGTATAAGAGGTTCGCCCCTTTCCTTAAGATTAAATTCTGCAAAGCAAGACACTCTGGACAAGGCAAAGGAAAAAAGAGAAGTCTGTTTCTGAGGCTGCATATATTATTTTTGGGGGTTTTTTTATTAGCTTTTTTCTGAATGCTGTAGTCTTCTGGTATTTTTTTTTTAGTGTAACTCGAAAAGTATCCAATTTTGTAATGAATGGGAAATCAGCAATGATCATCCAAATGGATTTTGTCATCTTTGCATAGATTTATTGATGCCATGCTTTAGTTTCATTTTCTGTTAGGTTTCCAAGGCAGTATGTTTCCAGAAGCTTGTTATACTTAAATTTGCATTTCTATTTGTCAATTAGAGTTGTCATTTGTGAATAAAAGAGAAAATTTAAATTTAAAATTTAAAATAAGTAAAATTATTACAGTTAAATAAGTATTCAGAATTAGTATCTCTGTACAAGCCTGTATTATGAAGTTGATCTTGATTTGCGTTCAAGATAAATTTTTGTTATTAAGCATACCAAGTCTCCATATGGATATGTATGGGCCATTCCTTTTTTTCCCAGTTATTTCAGTGTTTTCATGTAGCCATCTTCGTCTCTTGCTTGGGATGCAAGCAATTTAAATATCCAGGTGGCAGTAGTCTGAAGAGACAAAAAGCCATAGCTCACAATTAAATTATTAACTCTGTCATAACTCCACTTCCCAGGAAAGTGCTGTCTGCTGTTCTGTGTATTTGAATGCATTTATTTTAGGTAATTGTATTGACATTGGTGTTTCATTGTGTCTGTTGTACAGTTAGGAGTCATGCCTGACAGATTCTTGTCTGACTTAGTGTTTAACACTTCCAAGTTTGTGGTCACCTGCAGGCAATATTAATTACTGGTTATGTATATATCTGCTATTACGTACAAACTAGCAGAAGCAAATTCTGCAGGCTCACGTTTTATTGTGACTATAATAATGCACCTATTTAGTATTGTACCATGTCACGTAGACTGCGATTAGGTTTTTAGTACATTTCAGGCTTTGGACTAATTTATTGGGAAGATGAGCTTTTATTCAAATTCTTTTTATCCAGATTCTTTTTATCCAAATTGCCCTTCATTTTTCACAGATATGGTGTGCATTCTTCTAACTAGGACTCTGTGCTGAAAACTCCAGAGATTAAGGTCTCTTTTTGTTGAAACTGTTCAGAAAGTTAAATGCAATGTTCTGTAAATTTTTTTTAGATTATTTTTTAAACTTTTTTTTTTTTTTTTTTTTTTTTTAATTTGGCCTTGCTAGAGGCATAGGATTTTCTGATACCTAAATCAAAGTTTTCTTCCTCTAGGAGTTACATTTGTATTGTGAGGCTATTAAAAAAAAAGCCAACAAATTAAAAAGGTCTTTTTTGTTTTGTTTCCTCTAGGTCTCCTTGGTTAGCTTAGTAGCTAATGCCCTTAATTTCTCAGAATTCAGTGCAATTAAATCCCTCCGAACATTAAGAGCTTTGAGACCTCTAAGAGCTTTGTCACGCTTTGAAGGCATGAGGGTAAGAAAAAAAAGAGTCTGTAAAACAAATCCATGAAATATGTCTAATTATAAAATAATGGAGGAAAACTGAACTGCGTGTTTATTTGCATGGCCAACAGAAGCATGTTTGATTGTATTACATGTGTTACTCCTTTTCTGTTGGCATTACTTCACTGTATTTAATGTTTTACATTAAATTTCTTGCTATACTTGAAAAAAATCTTTTTACTGCTCTACTTAATATTTTTTTTAAGTTTGTTTTGGTTTTTTTCTGTGTTTATTTACTAGGTGGTTGTGAGTGCTCTTACTGGAGCAATCCCATCCATTATGAATGTACTCCTGGTTTGTCTTACATTCTGGCTAATATTCAGCATCATGGGAGTAAATTTGTTTGCTGGCAAGTTCTATCACTGTGCTAACACCACAACTGGTGAGAAATTACCACCAGAGAAAGTCAGTAATATGACTGCATGTAAAAATCTTACAATCACTGGAATGGATGTTCGGTGGAAAAATATGAAAGTAAACTTTGATAATGTTGGAGCTGGTTATCTTTCTCTGCTTCAAGTAGTAAGTGTATAAATTTTGATAAATTTATTTTCCAACTTTAATGGTTATGCTTTTTGATTTTAAGATTGTGTTCTATGAAACTAATTAACATGGCTTATGGTGAAAATCTGATACATTCTATGGCTATTTTGAAAGAGGAGGGTTATCTTGTTTACCAGTTGAAAAGGTACTAGTGATTGTGGGCAAAGGAACTTTATATTCAAGTTCTACAGAAATACAGTATCTAGTAAAAAAAACCAAACAAAACACCATAAAAATATGGCTATGATTACCAGTCTGCCCATGGCAGAGAGCTTGGACTAGATAATCTCTAAAGGTCATCTCCAAGACAAACCATTCGATGATTCTATTCTTTTCTTAAGATTTCTTGGGATTACTTACCTTCTGGAGTTTCTCCTAGTACTTTTGGCATATTCTGTCTGAAAAACCCCAATCCATGTGGCTGATTTTTGGAGTCCTCCTCCAGTTTTCAGTAGTCAGAAAGTTAGAATTGAGAGTTGCAGTCCTGTTTTTATGCTCAAATGCTGATTGCAACTCATCTCAAATAGAGTTTATATGAATTTTATTGAAGATTAGAATTTATTCAGTGTTTAAGTAAATTACTTTCAGTGAATGCTTTGCTGTGTTTTACTAGACTTTTAATATTATTCTCTATTCTTATGGGTGCAGATACATTGTAGAAGAGAGTGTCTTACATAAAATGTTTACAGAAGTGAAGCTTTGATAGAAAATATTAACAAACTTTGTTTTTAGGCAACATTTAAAGGATGGATGGACATCATGTATGCTGCAGTTGATTCTAGAGAAGTGAGTGCAATATAAAATTTACTAAGTGAAAATAAATATTATTGATGTAATGCTTCTTGAATGATAGTTAAAATAAGTAAAATATAAGGAACAAAAAATTAAACATAGATAAATTTCCTATATAAATCTATGTATTCTGAAGCAATTAAGTGCATATACTTTTAATAAGTAAAAAATACTAAGGAATCTACAAAAAGTATTTCCAACTTGTCATCTGCAAATAAAATTACGAATGAAATCTGGTTTCCTATTACTTTATGTCAATGAGATCACACAGATTAGGAAACAAGTTCTTCATGTGTCTCCAAAAATAACCCAAATAATCAAGTGACATCACCTGTAATACCTAAGGCAGATCTTTGGACTCTTGACAATCTTAAGAAATAAAAAGGCTGAATTTTGCCTGTTTTTCTGTTAATACTGATATTTATTTGCATCTCTCCTTTATTCAGCTCCTGATTTGCACAAGGTCTAGAGGAATGTAATTGCTTTTAGGATTTGCACAGTACTGTAAAATTTAGCAGGAATTGCATGAAATACCAAATGTCATTAGAGAGGAAAAAGGAGGAATGGCAGGTCTGTGTATTATTACAGACACCTATATTAAATAGATTTTCAAGTTCAAAGATAAGGGAAGTGTAGTGTTTGCTCCAAAACAGCTCATTTTCCCCCCTGGTCAAGGAGTTGTAGTCCAGCTAGATGCAGCTTCTGTGTCTGCTCAGTATTCTGTGATTTGTCTTAACTGCTATTTATGATGTATTACTGTTTTTCTGTGTTGCATAGTTAGAGCAACAGCCCAAGTATGAGGACAGCCTGTACATGTATCTTTATTTTGTTGCCTTTATCATCTTTGGATCATTTTTCACTCTAAACTTATTCATTGGTGTCATCATAGATAACTTCAACCAACAAAAGAAGAAGATAAGTATCATGTTTTGTTTTCGTAACACTTCATTATTACTGGGCATTCAACAAACTTATGCAAGGGTAAATACGAGTGTCTGAAATTTCTCAGAGTAATAGAAAGGAAAAAAAATAAATTGGCTATTAAGATTTCTTTTTCTTCTATTCAAAATAATGAAAATACTATTTGCTTCTTATTTCAAGTAATTCAAACTTAAACTGAGCGTTTGGCTTTTCTCTGTATCCCTGTACAGCCCAATGATGTTATGTATTGTTTTTACTTACCCTTAGAGTGCCATGACAAAGCTATGTGAAAATGCAAATAACAATTCAAATAAATAGATAACAGAGGAGAATATGCAATATTGTTAATTACAAAGAGACATACAGACAAGCTAAATGCTGGAAGTACTGCTGTGTATTGTAAGATTAGAGAGGGCTAGGAAACTGTTTCATGAGTTAGTAGTGAATTTGCAAGAAAGAATTGATGTTTGAAATTTGTAGTTCTTATTTTCAACAGAAATTGTTTCTGTTATTTAAATAAACATAGGATTGTGTCAAGAAGTCCAGGAGCATGTACATATACTAAAATTCAGACTATGATGAGAAAATTAAATTCTGCTTGCTATTTAAACTATAAATGCTGTTTAAGGTTTATAGTAGTCTTATTTTTCTGTACAAATTTGGAGCAGAATTAAACTAGAATGCTGACCTTTTTTTAAAGAGTAGCAGCAAGGCAGTACATGACTTCTTCATTTGTGATTCTAGATTGTCAAGCTTGATTCATTGTACTGAAAAAAGCTATTGCTAGATTTACTGCAGTAGAAACTTCCAGTAAATCTTTCCACTTGAGGTTTTTTTAAAAAACAGAAGTTCTGAGGTTTTTCTGTGTTCCTTAATTTACTTTTCTATCAAGACTTGTCAGGTATATTAGCAGTCTCTGATACAATTATCATAATTTGGTTTTGGTAACAATGTATAAGAATGAATATATGGTTCATAAAAAAAATGTTCTGTAATGGTGTGAAATAATGATTTTTAAAGGCATGACTGTAATCAGTTTTATTTTTATCATTTTACCTTGGAGGTCAAGATATTTTCATGACAGAAGAACAAAAGAAATACTACAATGCAATGAAGAAGCTGGGATCCAAGAAACCACAAAAACCTATACCTAGACCAACGGTAAGAATGTGTGCTATTCTTGTATCATCTACATTTGGGAAGAAATTGCAGATTTAACTCCAAAATGGGCCTAATTTAAGTTAGCCCCTTATTCTGAATTGGAACATGTACATGTTCTGCAGGAAAAAAATCACACATAGTTTTTATGCCTGAGGAAGAAGAGAACTAAAGAATCAGAAGTAGGAGAAGCCTGTTGGGTTTTGAGGAGCAAATAAAGAAGTTACTGGACAATGCGTTTATTGGATTTTTCAGCCTTTTGCTTGATTGTATGTTTTGGGGGAGGAAGCGGAAACGGATGGGAGATAAAGGTATTCATTACATCTAAGTTACTATCACCTTTTTTTTTTTTTTTTTCTCCCCTCAGAACAAATTGCAAGGTCTGGTGTTTGATATTGTAACAAAGCAAGCTTTTGACATCACCATTATGGTTCTCATCTGTCTTAACATGGTCACCATGATGATAGAAACAGATGACCAGGGTGAACTGATGCAAAATATTTTATACTGGATTAACTTGGTCTTTGTTGTCCTTTTCACTGGAGAATGCATCTTGAAACTGTTCTCACTCCGTTATTATTACTTCACCATTGGCTGGAATATTTTTGATTTTGTGGTTGTTATTCTTTCAATAGTAGGTAAGAGATTCTTATGTTCAAAATGTGATATATTAAGATATGCATTAAATGCTTTTTCTCTGTCATGTTTAGCAGATTAGAGGAAATAATTTTATTTTCTCATTATTTAGGAAATGAAAAGCATACTTGAGTACCTTTCTTAATAATTTTGTATCAATCTAAATATTTTTTTTTCTCTCAAAGAGTTTTGGGGAAATAACTAAAATTACCCATAGCAGATAAAATTTATCTCCAATTATAATTTCCACTAATTGCACAGGTAGCGTTGTTCTTTACTCATTCTTTGTTATGAAAAATGCAAACTGTTATAAAATGTTAGTCTTTTTAATTTATTTTTATATTTCACAGGTATGTTTCTAGCTGAGGTGATTAAAAAGTACTTTGTGTCCCCAACTTTGTTCAGAGTTGTACGACTTGCCAGAATCGGTCGAATCCTGCGTCTCATTAAAGGCGCTAAGGGGATCCGCACTCTGCTTTTTGCTTTGATGATGTCTCTTCCTGCTTTGTTCAACATTGGTCTGCTGCTCTTCCTGGTCATGTTTATCTATGCGATATTTGGCATGTCCAACTTTGCCTATGTTAAGAGGGAAGCTGGCATAGATGACATGTTCAACTTTGAAACATTTGGCAACAGCATGCTCTGCCTTTTTCAAATTACCACATCTGCTGGCTGGGATCTGTTGCTAGCCCCAATTCTTAACAGTGGGGAGCCAGACTGTGACCCCCATAAAGATCATCCAGGGAGCTCTGTGAAAGGTGACTGTGGAAACCCTTCCGTTGGGATTTTCTTCTTTGTCAGCTACATTATCATATCGTTTTTGGTAGTGGTGAACATGTACATTGCTGTCATTTTGGAGAACTTCAGTGTTGCTACTGAAGAAAGTGCTGAACCCTTGAGTGAGGATGACTTTGAGATGTTCTATGAAGTTTGGGAAAAGTATGATCCAGATGCAACACAATTCATAGAATACAGCCAATTGTCTGATTTTGCAGCAGCACTTGATCCTCCTCTTCACCTACCCAAACCAAACAAAGTCCAGCTTATTGCAATGGACCTGCCCATGGTAAGCGGTGACAGAATTCACTGCTTGGACATCCTGTTTGCTTTCACAAAGCGTGTTTTGGGGGAAAGTGAGGAGATGGATGCCCTCAGAATACAGATGGAAGATCGGTTTATGGCATCCAATCCTTCAAAAGCTTCCTATGAACCAATTACAACCACATTAAAAAGAAAACAGGAGGAGGTTTCTGCTGCTATCATTCAGCGTGCCTATAGGTGTTATCTTTTAAGACAGTCAGTAAAGAAATTTTCATTTATGTATCAGAAAGATGGAGTTGATCTACTTATCAAAAAAGACACGATTATATGTAAACTAAACTCTCCTTCAGAGAATATGGATATGTCTGCATCCAGCACATCTCCGCCTTCTTATGATAGTGTAACAAAACCAGAAAAAGAAAAATATGAAGATGACAAATCAGAAAAAGAAGATGAGGGGAAAGACAGAAAAGGAAACAAAATGTAAGACAAAGACATTATCCGTGATGAATGGTCACAAGCCTGCGAAGATGATGTTTTTTTCAATAGTGCTCTTACTGAAGAATTATGCCAAAATTACACATTTTTACATATTTAGCCACTGCTATAGGCAGTGCATGTACCAAGACAAAGAATCTTCACTAGACAACTCTCAGTCTGTAATGGGGAAACAACCTTGCCAGAGGAATTTCTGTTACCAGCTGGCACCAATGGAGAAGAAACACAAAATTTTTACTTGGACTGTAGGAAGCCTTGATGGAATGCAAAATAAGTCTGTATCGTTGTGAACCAAGTGTATCAACTGTGTACATTTCATCTCCTGTCTATGTTTTGTGTGTGTCTATTTTTTTTCCATTATCTTATTGGCTTTAATTGACACACTGCTATTTGTAATTCTGCAGTGCTGAGAAAATAAAAAACTAAATATACAAATTTCAGGCATATGTAATTATAGCATCATAATGAGCATAGTTCTCTTCAAGCCACTTGTAAAAGCAAAAAACCAAGATTCCAGTTGTTGAACTTCAAGATCTAGATCAAATTAACAGCAATTTATATAAACAAGAAGACAGAGAATTTATCAGACAACAAAAATAGCAAATAATTTGCACAGGAAAGAGATTGCTAGTTTAATCTCTTTATTTTAATGTTCTTCTGTTTAAAACCTTTTAGTAATTTTTAATTTATTATAATGTCCATTTCAGATACAGTAATTTAAATAAATGATGCTACACACACACCTTCAGTTTTGAAAAACTTGAAACTATGAAAAAAAATGTTACTTTCAAGGTCTTAGATATCTGATCATTCCAGTGAGATTTAAATAGTTACTTTTACAGAAAAGCTACGAATGCCAAATTGTGCCTGCAGGAAATTACTGAAATAAGTAAAGTGGTAGTCTTTTTTCTTTTTTTTTTAGCTGTACACCCTATAATTTTATTATTAACTTCCATACTTCATTCCAAAATCTGTTTATATGCTTCTTATTTCACATGAATATATCCTACTTAGGGGAATAGTCAAAGCTATGTGTATAAATCAATACTGTACCTTTTGGGATAAACACTACCTTAATGCATACCTCAGGCTTAAATTTCCATATTTTTGAAGGATGAGTCATGCCAGAGACAGAAAATGCATACAGCAGAGGTGTTTTTGGCCCCCCATAGCATTTTAATCAGGTGTTCACTGTATGTATTGCAATCTCCTGTAGAAAGCCAAGATGGCCATTGTCCTGCAGTGTGGTTTGATGACTTTTTTATCATCAAGGATGACACTACAGTGTAATAAAAATATCCTCTGCTACTTAATAAGTTGTTTTATTCAGTGATACCTGTTTGAACAAGGAGACAGTGACCTAAATACTGTATTTACTGCATCAAGTATGTACCCTAGTAAGTGTAGGTTATAACATTTCAATAGATAATATGATATATTCTGTAATACTCAAAATAATTGGGGAGCTTTAACTGATGCATGCTTGCTGCTATTATCCTACAGCTGTTAAAGTCTGAGATGAGAAGACATGTCAGTGGTAAAAGAGAGCTGTTCAACGAGCATCATTCCTCATACCAGTAAGCAATAGTTTGCTGCTATTATAGATTTTATTTTGTTTGAGTTTTTTAATCAGCAAATATGCAGTAAATAACCAGACCATACAGGGCAAGTATCTTCTTTAAAGTGTGGCACTAGAAAAAAACTTTTATAATATGTATCTATCAATCTGTTCTAGTTATTTTGAAAATATTTTTATTTTATAACATTTTATATTTATTATAAGAAACTACACATATCTTCATGTTGTTAGTAATTTTTATTGCTATCTTTGACACTTTACCATTGGGAAACCTAAGATACAATGAGAATTGGTAATTGCAAGTTTCTACTGCTAATGTTAAGCATATTTAAATAAGGAATAATTTTAAAAGAAATGGACAGTGCAGTTCTTTTTTTGATCAGTAGGTAGGCCTTTGTGAAACAAGATAGAAGGTTTTCTTTTGAAAATATAATCCTGCCTATCAATTTCAGGGTTAACTGATTCATAGAAACATTGCTTTTCCCTGCTATTAGTCTCATCACTGTCTGCTTTTCTTGTTGATTCATCCTGCAGTAGAGGTGCTTTAAATATAATTTGTTATTCAGAGTCTTTCTTCATGAGAATGAATAGTAAACTTGTGCAATGAGCAGTGGAATACCTTGCATTTCATACAAAAGAACAAAAATATGGATGGGCTCCTGCTTTTCTAGAAACTACTAGCTCGTACTGATGAACTGCATGCAGGAAGTTGTTTTACCAAAAATAACTACATTGCTATCAACCCAAAAGAATAAAGAAAATCTTTTTATGTACTCATTTTAGCTTTTGTGTTTTTCATGTGTGAAGTTTATCACAGAGTCATAGAATCACAGAATGACTAGTGTTGGGAGGCACATTAAAGATCGTCTAGTTCCAGCCCCCCCTGCATGGGCAGGGACAGCTTCCATTAGACCAGGTTGCTCAAAGCCTCATCCAACCTGACCTTGAACACTTCCAGGGAGAAGGCATCCACAGCCTCCTTGGCGACCTGTTCCAGTGTCTCACCATTCACACTAAAGAATTTCCTCCTAATGTCTAACCTCAATCTCCCCTCTTCCAGCTTAAAAGCATTACTCCTTGTCCTGTCACTAAATGCTCTGGTAAAAAGTCCCTCCCCAGCTTTCCTGTAGGCCTCCTTCAGGTGGAAGATCACTATGAGATCTCCTCAGAGCCTTCTTGTCTCCAGGCTGAACAGCCCCAACTCTCTCAGCTTGTCCTTGTAGGAAAGGTGCTGCAGCCCTCTGATCATCTTTGTGGCCCTCCTCTGGACTAGCTCCAAGAGTTTTATGTCCTTCCTGTATTGAGGGCTCCAGAACTGGACACAGTACTCCAGGTGGGGTCTCACGAGTGCAGAGTTGAGGGGCAGAAGTTAATCTGTTATACAGTTTAACAAGTAATGGTTGATAAAATGAAGAGGTAACCACTTTAGCGATCAGGCAACGTGTTTTAGATAGCTAAATCACATATTGCTTTCTCAATTTGATTGTTATCAACTTGTCACCCTCTGGATGAAATGAAAAGCTTATGTTATCCAGACCAGATAAGATTTTATAGAGTTCAGAAAAGAGTCACATTCCAGTTATGTATTTTTCTGTCAGATTTTTACAAGTTCCCCAAGAAGCGCTTCAGTGGCGTATTCTGGTGACCAAGTCCAATGGAGGCTGTCTCCACATTCTTGCTGAGCAGCAGATCTGGCAGACACTGCTCACCATGGGATGAGTGGTCTGGGGTCTGTCACAGAAGTAGCCCCACAGGGGGATAAGAGTCACTTTATCCCATTCCCCCTCAGATAACCCATGCTTGCCAGAGAAGAGAAGGTAATGGCCACCCCACAGCAAGTGAAGTGTGTGGGCTGGTGGACCTCTGCATAGAGTAATTAATGTGCTCTTTTTTTTTCCATTTTCATTTCTGTTGTGAAGAGTAGCTGCTCTATGCTTGGAACAATACAGCTGACAGGAAAAATACCTCAAATATGCTGTGATTTGAAGGACAATGTATATGTTTTTAGTAAGTATATCTGATTTGAACTTTTTTTTTCTAATCTAGAATAGTTACTGTTACACTGCCTTCATTCCTAACAATAATTACATGAAGCAATAATGTAAATGCTGTAAAAATCTTGGTTATATACCTAAATTGCTATTTAGGAACTAAATTGTTGTTAGTGCTGGACAGGTACATAGTAACTTAATAAGTCTATGAGGAGTAGGCATGACATGTATGAAATAATTCTACAAATTGGGTAGTGTGCAGAAGTCTATAAGGTTATTTGTAAACTCATATTATTTTACCTACAAAACTTCTACTATTATTAAAGTTACATTTATCAAAACTACATAACCCAACGGAAGTCACAATCCATTTTCGATTACTCAAATTCTAAACTTTTGGTCCTGTGCAAAAAAAGAGCAGCATATTTGCAGATTTCAAGTGTTTTTATTTGAATAAACTTGTATCCTTTTGCATTTATTTGAAATTATTCCAGTATACCTGGAAGTTATTTGCCTTTATTTATGCCACAGTTGACTTGTCTTTTCTCCTTAACCTGCAGGTATAAAATATATTTATGTTTTAATGTAGATATAAGTCAGATGCTTCAGAGTAAAGGGTCAGTCATACATTAGTAAGCAAAATGTTAGGCAAAAGACAGACACCGAACTCTTTAACATTCTAGTTCACAGAGAATGAAAAATTAGTAAGAAAGGCTCCCTTAGATTTTCTCTGAAGCCAGCTTTCTTTCCGCTCTCTTACCTAGCTAGGGACATATTTTATTTTATGAAGTTGTCATTAATCTCTGCAGCACACCCCCCCAAAAAGAAGCTAACCCAACCCAAAACATAGAAACAAAACAAACCATAAAACAAAGCAAACCCCACACTGTGCCACGACATAAAAGGGGGAAAGTTATGTTCTTTTAAAATATTGGCATTCTTCAATGCTGTAAGAAAACTCTTTCACTCTAAGGACAAGACATCCTGAATCCAGCATACAAAATTATTTATATTGTAAAAATATAAAAAGAAAAGCAGGGGGAAGAGAGAGGATATTACTCATTCGTTTTTGTTTTTGTTCTTGTTTGTTTTGTTGTTGTAGTAGTTTTGGTTTTCTTTTTTTTGTTTGGAGGCTTTTTGTGGTTTATTTAGTTTTTTTAGAAGAGGCCTGAAATATGTTCGGGGGGTTGTTTGTATTATTTTAAAGAAGAAAAGCATGTTTCTGAGTACCATGTCTCTAGCTGTTAGCGGGACAGAATTTCTCTTAACTCGTAAAGCCTAATCGCATCCAGCAGAGGGCACAAACAACTGGCAGGTGATCATCGTGCTGTCCTTGGTGTCTTCAGCCACAGCAAGAATTAAGAAAAACGAATTGCAGGCACTGGGGATGGCTTATAGCTTTGTAGAGAATTTATAGAT